TTAGTGTTGCTGCCATCGGCTTTCTTTGTAAGTCTTCCTCCTTTAGACTCCAGGATGCACCATCTGGTATCAGAACTTTCATATCCAATTCAATCCGAATCCGATCCTATTTTTATTGGATTTGGATAACATAATGTCGTATTTTCAGATCAGATAATAGGATTCAATTGAAAATCATATTGAACTCGGATCACCCCCTATATATATATAATGAATGAAAATAGTTGATAAAAACTTGTATTTTTTGTTTTTCTTTATTTAAACTATTATACTTTTATCTTTAAATAACTTATTAAAATTTTCAAAAATTAAAGTGGATCATATCATATTGGAATATCTGACATTCTTAATGGATTTGTATTTGAATCGCTATTTGTAATATCCGATTGGATCTTTAGATCAGATTGAATCTAGGATTTGTATTATTAGATTAGATTCAGATACACCCCAATTCGAATATGATTCAATTCATTTGCATCCCTACTCCTGGGCGTGGAGGGCACCAGAAGAAATCTTTGTTTAAGGTATGTAGAGAAATTCTCATCATATGCAGGATCTTGAAGAACATATAACCAACACAGATTGACCAAATCTTGACTTAGGTCCAACAACTTTCCAACCTGGTTGAGCTCTAAGACAGGATGGAATTGTGCTTTAGTACAGCAGCTTTTGGCTTTGCAATTAATATAGATCTCACACGGAAAGTTTATAAGCTTATAAGATTTAGCTGAATGCTTTGGCTGTTTAGCGGACTGTGGAAACCAATGATAAGGTTTCACATCAGTAATAAAATACATGGGGCCACATCTTTCACAGTAGAGCCTATAAATTTATTATTAGCATGAAACCTCATCAACATTTGTTTCACAGCCAAACCGTTCAACTAATCCGAGTTCCTTGAAAGTGCAAATTAAAATTTCTTGAGAACAGTTTGAAGCTCTCCCAAACAGATCCTAAATAACATCGGCTAGCTCTTCAAAAGCTTCTTTGATTGAATCAAATCGAGTAGGACCCTTTTCCAAAATGATATGACCTCTTGAAAGGCTCAATTGCTTAAAAGGAAATTATCATCAGGTTGAAGCTTTGTGTTACGGCATCGTGTACTAATTACATTTCACTTTTGTAGCGGAAAAGATCCATTCCTCTTTCCACTTTTGAACTTGCCTGGTTGGGTTAAGTATTGACATTATATTATATATCAAGAATTTCTTTTTAACCTATAAAGGTCGGTTTGATTGGTTCACAGTTGGAATCAATCTGAATTTAAAATCCACATAATCGGAATCAAAATTGGTTAGAATAGATTAATTCTCATTTCCAGGAGAGAGTGGGAATTGTCATTCCACCAAAAAATGGAAACAAGATTTCTGATTCCACCCACCCAAACAAATGGACTCCGTTCCTGCAAATCATATACAGACCCTAAGATGATTTTCAGTAACCTGGTTGTTTCTTGTGTTGTATTTCATCTAGAAATAGCAGCACAATGGCCACTGTCTATTCTATTTCAACTTTGATCTTGTATGGTGCAGTTGCTTGTTTACCGGGCATATTCACTTTAATATCCCCATTTCAACCAACTCACTAAAGCTATATTTAGTACCATTGTTATTTTTTCATGAAACATTTGGGATTTATCAATAGAAACTAGTGTTAAAATATGAGCTGTCATGTTACATAATCAGAAACATTTTGGGTTGATTAATACAAATTATTGTTGTTACTTGAAATATCAAATTTGGTATTTCAACTCTAAAGAGCAATGATCAGTCCCTACATTTATTTTTTTCAGTTGAAGTAACTCTTTTGTGTAACATAACACGTGGTTTTTGAACCTCCATTGACCCGGACGGTCGGACCGTTTAGCCCAGGAACCACCTAGGCAATGAAGGGATGGGAGATCCATCATATAGATAGCCGAATCCTGTAGGAAGGTTGGGTGAAATTTCAAAAATTTCTTTATTCTCATCCGAGAATCCTATTCTCAATTTAGAAAACTACATTTTCAATGTTCGTTCTTGTAACCAAACTAGACCAAATCCGAAACCAAATTAAGGGAGGGATATACCTGATATAGAATCCACGCAAGAAAGCTCCTCCCAACATCGGTGTTCACGCCCAAAGAGAGTACCAAATCCTCACTCCACTGAAGATGACACATCTTAGGGTGAGGCAGGATTTATAGTTAGTTCTTCACCAAGAACTAGTGATTCTTCAACAAGAATCAAATGAGACAGTGAGCGCAACTTCTAAATTGTTTCTTCTAGCAAGAAACAATGTCAAAATCGAATCTTGATCCAATCCAAGAACTGAAGATCGAACAGGGTAGGGTGGAAAGAGCAGGAAGAAAAAGAGCAGAAGGCAAGAGCAGTCTAACTGTGTTGTTTTCTCTCTATATTTAGTGAATGTGTCTTTGGAGGTTCACCCTATTCTCTTATTTATAGCCTTAAAGAGACAATTTCCTAATCCAAATCTTTTATTTGGATCTGAACTATTTAAGTGATAAGGATAATTCCTTATCTTATCTAAAAATAAAGATCAACATTCCAATCAAATTAGGAGTTCCTTTGATCTAAATCTTTATTTGGATCTAAACTCTTTAAGTGGATAAGGATAATCCCTTATCTTATCTATTGATCCAAATCCTAGATCTGCCCCTATTTAATTAATCTAATTAATCCAGTTTGAAATGGGCTTTTAGGCCCATTAAGGTTTCAGGCTCACTTCCACTTTAATGTTGGCTACCTTGGCTCTCTTTGTATAGCGTGAGACTCTATCATTATCTAGACATCAGCCACATGGATTCAGCATAGCCTCTGTTATAAGGCTTGACTGAATTCACTGTTGAATATAGTGAACCCTTGAGTTCATCACTATGTGCTCTTAATGGGCCCAACATTTACACTAAATGGTCATTGGGTCCAGCCATCTTATGAAGACCCAAGGATTGTGAAAAAAAAAAGAGAAAAATGTCCTATTCATGGTACTGCGATTCCTTGTTTATAAATGTTGTACCTTTCAATAGGTGGCTTTAACATCCACTGTGTGAATAGGATTCCTTCCTCTTTGACGATTAGAATTTCAACTTTAGCAATATTAATTGCTTTATATGTTTTATTTTTATGGTTGATATAGTATTGGTAAGAAAATTAAATCGATAAAGATGGATTAAAATGTCTTTTTTACTTAATTGGTATTAGTGGTATAACCTAGTGGTAGTTTTTAATAGCACGTGTTAATTAATAGGATAATTAAATATGAAATATATAGGAATGTATGGATATGTAAAAGTTGATTATCAGTTTGTAACAGGAGAGAGAGAGAGAGATTGTAATGGATAAGTATGGATTTGTAACAGTCAAGTATGGTGTGATGGTGGAGTGTGAGGTGCAAATGTTTGTAGCCAGTTTGCAAAGGTTTGTGGATATGATGATGGTAAAAGTATAGTTTTAACAGTTGAATATGAATTTATATAACGATTGATTTGTCACGTTTACCAATGACTTGTAACAGTTTGGTATTGAATGATACAAATTTGATATATAACCAATTATCACGGTTGTGTTTGATTGCAATGCAAATTTATTTGTATTGATGCAAAATTATTTAGCGTAATTGATTTGGGTGCAAATTTTGATTTATTTTTATTTCAAACTTATTTTGTTTCATTGCAATACCAATAAAGTGAAATGAGAACTGAAGCTGAAGCACAATAAAATAAAAACCCAAAACAAAATTGATGATGTGCAATCTGATCAACCCCTATTGGAAGTCAGTTTGGACATCGATCTGCTAGGTGGCCAGGTTGAATTGCAAGACAAGTAGGTCAAAGGTCTTGGGGTACCTTACCCGATGTGGCACTCCAATGCTTAAGTTAGCGTAGGAAGTTTTTGAGAGAGTTGAGAGCTTAGAATGCTAATTAGAGAGCAAAAGCGCGTGTAGCTTGTGAGGATGGAGGTGATGCCCTTATATAGGAGAGCTGCTGTAGGCCCCACAAAACATATCCGAGATCACCAACCTGTGTAACCAAGAGTCCATTTCGCATCCGAAGGTAGACTTCGTGTGAGCTAATAAGGTTTATCGAGTCCGTCCAATCCGAGCGGGATAAGGATAAGGCTCGTTGACATGCAGTGTGATCCCAGAGAGGTCAGAGACAATTGACTAGCTTCAAGAAGAGACTATGTAGAACCTCAGCAAGTCTAGACACCACAAGCTACTCAGACCTCGGTCTTAGCCGAGGTAACCGAGGTGCTCGATTTGACTTGGCTTGTTGAGGTGCTCAAAAATGCTAAGGTGTCATCTAATCATCAGGTTGTTCCACATGTCCGCATACTAATGGGTTGGGCCAAATTACCCCTCATCAGTTACCCCCCCACTCCCGTGCCTGAGGTGTTCAACTCGAGGCGGGAGTTCACAACGAGTTTGGGCGAATTTGGCCCGGTCTCTGGTTTGGCCGAGATCCGACCTATGAGTCAAATCTAAATGATCCAACTAGCTCAACCTTAGGGTAAGATTGTGTCTCGGGTATGCACGGACGTCACGCGGACTATAAATTCCACGGACATCAAAGATGCACTCAATCGATTTTGACCTTGAAATTCGAGTGGTCGCCCTCTTGGGAGCCATTGGATTTGATCGATTTGGATCATCTGTGATTGGTTATACCGGCTATAAATAAGAGCCTTAGGGTACCCATTTTTCTTTGACCTACTTTGAGCTCTCATGCATTTAGAGGTCGCAAAGTTGTGCTATCGCTAGTGTTTTTAGTGTTGTTAGGTCAATCTTTCTCCCTTTTTTGGTAAGTCAGCTTCCGTACTCGTTTCATTTCGTTTTCCTTTCTTTTAAGTATATTGGGTAGTGGGTCTAGCGAAGATAGGGTCTAGTCCAATACGGCCAAGGAGGCTACCTCGTCCTGAGACCAACGAGGTTCCCACAAAAGGGCCTCATCTTCCCACTGACCAGCTCATCCTAGAGAACTGGACCACTTCGGTCCCACCTAGATGTCTACCAAGGAGATTCGCACCTTAGCCATTCGGTATAGGTTCCCCGACCACTATGACTATTCTCTTTCCATGGGTGGCTTTCCCCGGGAACATGACAATAATGAAATAGTTATCTTCACGGAACACCTGAAGGTTGGGCTCTACTTTCCACTTCACCCTTTCATTCTTGAAGCATTAAAGTTCTATGACATTACCATCAATCAGTTGCACCTTAACTCTGTTCATACCTTGGTCAGTACAGTCTCTCTTTTCTTTGACCTCGGCCTCCCTCTTAATATAAAGACCTTCACCTCGGTTTGCCAAATCAAACAAAACCCTGCCAGTGCCCTGAACAAATTTAGCTATTACTTGTCCCATCGGTTTGGGTACAAATTGCTCGACGACTTTCCTTCGAAAGTCCCAGCCTAGAAAAGTAGAAATTTTCTTCTTGCTTGAGCTGGGGGTGGCCTTTTCTACGGGTTTGGACTAGTGGGGTTCTAGATTGCTAGCCTAATCTAGAACTCTGGTGTGGTGACCTACTTTTTCTTGGTGATCTGCTTCGCCTATTACCAGGTGACTGGCTTCTCTTCAACAACTTGTTTCTTCGTCACTTCTTGTTGCTCCCTACTTCTTCCTCTGGTCATTTTCTCTTCCCAGCCAACTGTAGCTCTAACCAAGATCACAATGCCTCCTCCACCTTTATAAACTTATCTGCCATTCACCTCCACGGTGAGTTGTACTGCTAGGTCAAGGTTGGGAATCTGGAGATGCTCAAGGTTGAACCGCTTGATATAGTCACGAAGCACCTCACCGGGTTATTGGACGACATTCAGGAGGAAGCTCGTAGAGTTAGGGCACCTTTTGTTGGTGGCGATGTTCATGGTGAAGATGTCCACGAACTGACTCCAACTCTTTATCGTGCCCGTAGGCAGTCCTAAGTACTACATCCAAGCTTTTTTTTTTTTTGAATGTGGTCGAGAAATCCATGCAAAGGCTTGCATCATTTGCCCCATGAAGTTGCATTAGGGCCTAAAAACTATCAATGTGGTCAATTGGGTCGGTAGTACCATTGTACGATTCTAGGGTTGGGGCTTTAAAGTCCTTAGGTCATGGAGTCATAAGGATTTCGACCGGTGTTAATGGACTTTGGATCTCCTGCCCACGAGAACTCTGCCCACTCCTACCCACACTACACTGACCCCCATGAATTGGGAACATCTCCTCCTGTACAATACTATGCAAAGGATGAGATGTTCTCCATGTATGACTATGATAAATGTGGGCAGAGTTCTCGTGGACAGGAGATCCGGACTAGTGCTAATGGTAAGAGTCGGGTCATGTGCGATGTTACTGGCTGCGCAACGACCGAGCTAATCTCACCCTTCTTCTCCTTATCCATCTTAGGCATATTTTGACCAACTTATATTTAGTTTGTGACTTGGAATTATTTGGTTATAAATAAATTACAGTTAAAACCGTCTAACTACTAACACCCTTAAAAACATGTGAAGCATAACCACTAAAAGTCTCTATAAAACGAGGTATACAAGACTGCAAAAGGCAGCTGTGATAAGATTTCCTTTCAACTCTGAGAAATCGGAGTTAAAGGAAATCAAGTAGTACTAATTAGATAGTTGTTTATTTCTTTCTTTATTAAAATAATTTAATTATTATATTTTTCATATCATCAACTGCACTTCATGTGAAGAAGAGCAGTGTTATTACAGGAATAAGATTGTGTTTTCTTTCTTCTGATTATCATGGTGAGGAGCTTCTTAACTCAAAATATTAAAATATGATTTGGGTTCTTAGGCATTGCCCATGTGAGCCAAATAACTCATCAATTTTTCTTTTATTTTGCAGGATTTTCTGGCTGTTCTGCTAGTTGCTCTAGCTATGGTTTGCTGTATGCCAACATGCTTGAATGCAGAAAGAAATTTGATGGCGCATACAATCAACATAAATACGACAAGCCTTGGCATTAATAAAGGAGGCTCAACAAGCTTTAATGTTGTACGTTATGGAGCAGTTGGAGATGGCAAAACAGATGATTCCCAGGTAAATTTTTATTTACTTTTTATAACAACTTTAGGGTCTGTTGGGTTCATAGCTGAAAAAAGGAACCGAAACAAAAATGGTCCATTCCTTTTATCTATTTGATTCAAAAGAAGTCAGCTGGAATGAATTCTCATCCTCAAAGGCAAATGATCATTTCTTCAACTCCATTCAACCAAACAGTTAGAATCAGAACGACTCCACACCGGCCTATTTGGGTTCCTTTGATATCAACTCAAAGAAATTTAATAATCACAAGACAATTTTTAATTCCTATTTGCAGGCATTTTTGAAAGCTTGGAACATGATGTGCTCAGCATCATCAGGCATTCCTACCATGGTTGTCCCAAAAGGACTCACATTTTTGGTGAAGCCTGTTATTTTTAAGGGTCCTTGCTTGGCTCAG